TTTTTTTTTAGAGACAGGGTCTCGCTATGTTGCCCAGGCTGGAGTGCAATGGCTATTCACAGGAGGTATCCCACTACTGATCGGCATGGGAGTATTGACCTGCTCCGTTTCCAACCTGGGCTAGTTCACCCCTCCTTAGGCAACATGGTGGGCCCCCTCTCCTGGGAGGTCACCATATTGATGCCAAACTTAGTGAGGACACCCAATAGGCACAGTGCACTACAGCCTAGAACTCCTGGACTCAAGCGATCCTCCCACCTCAGCCTTTGGAGTAGCTGGGACTACAGGCACGTGCCACCTTGGGGGGCTGTTCTTTGGTATTTTATTTTATTTTTATTTTTATATATTTTTTAAGAGATGGGGTCTCACTATGTTGCCCAGGCTGGAGTGCAGTGGCTATTCACAGGTGCCATCCCACTACTGATCAGCACTGGAGTTTTAACCTGCTCCATTTCCGACCTGGGCCGGTTCACCCCTCCTTAGGCAACCTGGTGGTCTTTCGCTCCCGGGAGGTCACCATATTGATGCCGAACTTAGTGCGGACACCCGATCAGCACAGCGCACTATAGCCTATAACTCCTGGGCTCAAGCGATCCTCCCACCTCAGCCTCCTGAGTAGCTAGGACTACAGGCACACGCCACCGTGCCTGGCGGTATTTTAAAATTAAAGGTTAAAAATCAGCATTTGGCTGGCAGACATGGTGGCTCTCGCCTGTAATCCCAGCACTTTGGGAGGCCGAGATGGGCAAATCACCTGAGGTCAGGAGTTCCAAACCAGCTTGGCCAACATAGTGAAACCTCCTCTCTACTAGAAATACAAAAATTAGCTGGGCATGGTGGTGTGCGCCTGTAATCCCAGCTACTCAGGAGGCTGAGGCAGGAGACTCGCTTTAACTCAGGAGCCAGAAGTTGCAGTGAGTCAAGATCATGTCACTGCCCTCCAGCCTGGGCAATAAGAGCGAAACGCCATCTCAAAAATATAAATAAATACATAAAAATAAAATCAGCATTAGATGAACTATGATTGTTTCCAGTAGATTTGATCAGAAAACAGTGCTTAAAAAACTTTTTTTTGAGAGGGAATCTTGCTCCTCTTCCTGGGTTCAAGCTATCTTCCCACCTCAGCCTCCCGAGGAACTGGAATTACAAGCGTACCACCACACCCCAATAATTTTTGTAGTTTTAATAGAGGCAGGTTTTCACCATGTTGGCCAGGCTGGTCTCAAACTCCTGACCTGAAGTGATCTACCTGTCTTGGACTCCCAAAGTGCTGGGATTACAGGTGTGAGCTACCACGCTGGGCCAACACTCAAAAAATTTTCATCTCCACCCTAATTCTCTTTCTCAACTGGTTATAAATAACTCTTTTGAAAGACTTAGCTATATTTGCATCAAAACTAAAATGAGCGACTGAAAATTAAACTATTTTCAATTTGAAAATAACACCTAAAAATTATAAACATATAATGTGGTAAAATGACTCAGATTTTCTAGTTTTCTTTATTTTATTTATTTTTGAGATGGAGTTTCACTCTTGTTGCCCAGGCTGGAGTGTAAAGGCATGATCTATGCTCACTACAACCTCTGCCTCCTGGGTTCAAGCAATTCTCTCCTGCCTCTGCCTCCCAAGTAACTGGGATTACAGGTGCCTGCCACCATGCCCAGCTAATTTTTTTGTATTTTTAGTAGAGAAGGGGTTTCGCCGTGTTAGCCAGGCTGGTCTCGAACTCCTGACCTCAGGTGATCCGCCTGCCTTGGCCTCCCAAAGTGCTGGGATTATAGGCTCTAGCCACCGTGCCCTGCCCTCATGGATTTTCATACATAAGGATTGAAAGATGCCGTGGAGAAGTGGTGGGACTATATGATACATTTTCCTGTGCCAGCAATGTAACTTAGTTTCTTTTATTTTCAGAGTATGCTTTTCATTTTTATGTATTTATTGTTTTTGAGACAAAGTCTCATTCTCTCGCCCAGGCTGGAGTGCAGTGACTTGATCTCAGCTCACTGCAGTCACTGCCTCGCAGGTTCAAGGCATTCTCCAGCCTCAGCCTCCCCAGTAGCTGGGACTACAGGCGTGCACCACCATGTCTGGCTAATTTTTGTATTTTTTTTGTAGAGAGAGTGTTTTGCCATGTTACCCAGGCTGGTCTTGAACTCCTCAGCTCAAGCGATCCTCGGCCTGGGCCTCCCAAAGTGCTGAGAGTACAGGCGTGAACCACCACGCCCGGCCCCCTGTGGGTGTTTTTAAAATTAGAGACACAGAGACCCTGAGACCCTGATTGAAGAAGATAGGCCATGGGGCTTCTGCGTCTAACATTTTTCAGAACTCACCCGACTTGTATGAGCAAAGCAGCCCCTTTTCACTGTTCTTTTTCTTGACAATCTCCATGGCCCTCCCTGCGCTGCCTACATACGGGTTGGAAGGCCTCTGTCGTTTGACTCTCAGTGGCAAAAGCCAGAACGAGGCTTCACCGCACCCGCCCCAAAGCTCAGTCTTCCACTAGCATTCCAGGCGGCGCTTTCTAGTCACGTGAGGGATACCTAACCACTAGAAATAAGATGTGGGGGAACCACTGAGATCATCACCTAAATTGCTTGATACTTTCTTTTCCAGAAGACACGCCCTCTTTCTGGATTAATGGCAGAAAGTGAATCATTTCTATATTTGATTGTACGTGAAGCCCTCGGTAGTCCTTACTGACATCACGTCTCCTCTGGACCTTGGTTACGCTCTGTGTCCTTCACCTGACTTGTCTCTTCAGATTCCTGAGTCACGCTCTGTTTATGTTGCTGTTCCAGGAGAGAACCGCGGCGCGGATCCAAACAGTGACGTCAGCGCAGGAGGAGGGCCGCGGGAGCTGCAGCGGAACGCGCAGAGGGCTCGGTGCAAGCGCGGGACAGCTCTGCTTTGGCCAAAGGGATCCCAGGAGGCCTGGCCCTCTTTTCCCCCCGAGGGTGGATCCCAACCAGCAGGGATAGGCTGGATTTTTGCCTTTTGTTTTTGTTTTGGGGCCAAACCAACAAAAACAGTGGAGGGGGAAGAAAACATGTTCAGAATTTTTTTTGTTTTAAAACCCTATTTAATTTCACAGCTACAAAATAAAACACAACTAGAATGTTTTGATGTTTGCAATGACATCGATTTTAAACAAGGTTACCCAGAAAGGAAAAGTAGCGAGGCAGAGCGGTCGGCCTCCTCCTGCCCTCGGCGCCTGGCGCGCGGGGGCGGGGCGGGGCGCGCGGGGTGACGTCATAGGCCGATGCGCCGCCCGACTGTTTTTGTGCTTCCAGCTCTTCGAAAAAGCTGCTGGTATTTCTCCACCTGGCTCTCCTTTACCTCCAGGCAGGCGCACCCGAGGTCCCCCTCCTTTTTCCCCACCGTACACTCGGCCCAGCGCTGTTGCCCCGGGAGCGGACGTTTCTGCAGCTGTTCTGAGTACACCTTGACGTCGGCGGAGGGAGCGGGACGCGGCCGGCTGTCAGCTGCGACGGAGGCAGGCCCGGCGCGGGGATCTCGCAAGCCCTGCGGTGCATCATGAAGTTCCAGTACAAGGAGGACCATCCCTTCGAGTATCGGAAAAAGGAGGGAGAAAAGATTCGGAAGAAATACCCGGACAGGGTCCCCGTGAGTGTAGAGCAGTGGGGGGATGGGAGGGGAGGGCCCGCGGGGGCGGAGGCGGAGAGTAGCGATAGCTGCCCTGGGGCGCCCAGGCGGCTCTGGAGAAGCGGGGGCGCGGGGGGGCCGGGAAGGGGGGGGGTTCCATGAGTTACTTAATCCTGAAAGGTCTTCAGTGCCAGAGCCAATGGACGTCCAGACTGCGGAGCTTTTAAAACCTGTATGCCAGCAGCCTGAACCCCACTTTAGAGCTGACGGCGTTTTTGGAGCCGAGCCGCCGTCTGCAGTGACTCAGCAGTATTGAGACGTGTGTAGGTTAAGGGGTGCACACATAGGGCCCCTGTGTGCGAGAGTGGTTAGGTCGGGGCCATGGATTGGCTGCCTTTAAGAACGCAGGGACATTGTGCTGTGCGGTGAGGTTTGCCCCGGTCGATTTCTGCCTTGGCTGGTTGTCTTTTAATGAAGTTGACTTTTGCTCTCATATCATTGGGCTTCGGAGGAAAAGGTTCAGAAGCTATTCGGTTCTTTTCTTGCATTCTCTCAGAATTACAGGGGGGTGAGGGAGCACAGGACAGTCCTGGCCTGGAAAACAAGGTCACGTTCTGTGCGCCAACAGCCTGCTTGCCTCATCGTTCTAGGCTCCGGGGCATGTGTGGAGACAGCCAGCCTTCCCCGGTATTGATTTCTGATCACATGGTACCTGGACGCGCGATAAGGCAGGTCTGAGGCGCCTTTTCTCTGTTTCGGACACTGGCTTAATTAGTTAAAACCACCGCAGGTAGTGAGGAGGAACCGAGAAGAAATAATTATGTATCTTTCAGCATCCGGGCGTTTTCCCCATTACCTCCTCCCCCGCCCACTTGCCTGGTGTTTCTCTAATGTAGGCTGCGCAGCCGAATTGAAGGCCAGAATTTGACTTTTAAGTGGTAGAGGGACCAGCAGCTGTTGGATTTTGGAGATGGAGTAGCGGAGATTTTAGTTATCTTCATGTGGGGACATTAGTGTTACAAGTCACATAATGGTAAAACAATTGCTGTTATCTGGTGTCTTTTCTTGATTCACAGTCACTCTGGGTTTCTTCTTTAATCCTTACCTAACATTCATGGTTTTATAGCTACCAGAAGCCACCAGGGCCTTATCCCAGCAGTACAAACCTCTTGTACCTCTTTTCCCTAAAGGAAAAAAAAAAAAAAAAAAAGAGTCATTGGGGCTCTTCCATTCCCCAGGAATTACAAAAGGGTTTTCAGCTTATAAAGGAATGCGCTAAACCCTTAGCCAGTAAAGGATCTTTTACAAATTACTTTCCTGGTTTCTGGACCTTGGATTCCTACTGTGAAAGTTTCGCCCAATTCTGGTGATGCCAATCTTACTTTTGAGTAATGATATTTAAAAATGACAGCCAAGTTTTATTGATAGTTTACCAGAGCATTATTGTAAGTATCAGTCTGTAATCAATCCCCGTTCTACAGATGGAGTGTTCAAAGCACAAAGAAATGCAGTAACTTCCTAAAGGTTTCACGTTGCTGATCTGTGTTTGAGCCGGAATTCCACCCCTGTCTGATGGACTGTGGAGCTCCCGGAGACCTTAACCTCCATGCCATACATCTCAGTTTCTAATATAGCTGTATTAACCAGAATTAGTGATGTACTGTGGACTTCACATTGTTAAGTATAAATATTTTAGTGATTTATGTGTATTCACTCTGAATATTTCAGTGAATTCTCTTCTTTTCCTGCTGATAGTTTTTTGTTAAATGGTTTGCTTCTATGATAATTTTTAAGCCATTAAGACTGTCACTCAGATTTCAGCTTTCCTAGGGTTATGTTTTAACCAGTGGTGAGCTGTTCCCAAAGTGCTCTGTGACCTTCTTTCTAGTTATGACGCAGGTTCCTTGATTT